CCTTCGGCCCCGGAGGGACACACGCGTACAGAATGTCCTTCGCGTGGCATGAACGGCCGTGTGGTGAAATGTCGGGCAACCTTTTCCCAGCTTTTGTGTAAATGGAAACACATGGTGCCGAGTGCGAAAATGTCACCTTTTCCACGTCCCGTTTTTTTTTTTCAAATGGAGAGATATTTTTAAGGCGATTAATTTAAAGCGTGCAAGCAGAAATACTCATAAGACAGGCAACAAAGCGGAACAAAGTGGATCGTCATCCGCATTCCATGGGCGGACGCCATGGTAATGTGGAATTTCAAACCGTTGGCTAAGGGCTGAAAATAGAAATTAAGCACCGCTGCATTGCTAATTTGGGCAGGGGCTTATACAGAAATATACAAAGATCCACATATAGCCTACATAAGCTGTAGGGCTAAGTGCTGTTGGAGAGCACAGACGAAGCCTGCAATGGTACACGAGGGGGGTGGCGTCGCCAGAGCTGCGCTCGGCCGCATTTGTTTCCGTCGTGCGGATGATTTACGCACCTTGCAGAGGCGCAATGGCTTAAGGCTGAGTAGGCGCATGGGAATCAGAATGAGAATATTTGTTCATACTGTTCATGCTGGCCAGGCGTCTTGGAAGAGGTGGGAACATCTAAACCAGGGGTCGGCAAACCATGCTGCTCGGGAGCCGCATGCGGCTCTTTTAAGGCGCTGCTTCGTGATGTTATTTATTAAGGACCACCGTCTCGTATTCACATGCATTGCCAATCTTGAAATGTTGAGGTTTTTTTAAATATCAAATTCGAAAAAAAATGGCTCTTAAATGTAACTCTGTTTGCTGACCGCGTTTCGATATTCGCCACCGATGTTAGCTGGGGGTCCGAGAATCAAACTCGGGCCTCCGCGTTTCGCCGCGAATTGGATGTGCTGCAGATTAACCGCTTGGCAACCATAAACGCACACGTGCCAGTGTTCAATGTCGTCTCAAACTAGCACAACTTTCAGATTGCGATATTCGTTTGAGTATGAATTATTAATCCATTCGGCCAGACCCACTTAAAACCGAAATGGTTTTCCCCCGCCCACCCCCCACCCCCCCCGGCTTGTTATTGTTGGATGACAACGCCACCGAGAGGGGTAAAGGAAAACAAACAGGAGAGCATGAGGAAGTCGGGAAGGAAAGGAAGGCCATCTCCGTAAGCAGGACGCCACCACAAGAAAGGTTTTTTTCTCTCTCTCTCTCGCTATAACAGGATACCAAAGCAAACACAGACACAAAGACAGCAAAGACACTGCATCCGCATACCAGTCATCCAAACGACCCATCTTTGTTTTGAAGACGGGAGCACCGGCCACCCAGCCCGCAAGACGACAAGCTGCCACCACCGCCGCCACCACCTTTGTCAAACGCAAGCGAAGTGTGTAGGCCGCCAAGGCCCTCGTGGGAAGGCCCAATGTCTAAATACGTCGAGAGCACGTCCCACCAGGAAGACCGAGTAAAAAGGTTGGTTCACGCGCAGGTGCTGGGTGGACCGTTGCACGGTGACATCGTGAGTGGTGGCGGAGGCCTGGGGAGGCCCCTTCATCCAGCAGTGGATTGACCATGGATGATGAAGATGATGGTGAAAAGTATGACGTAGTTATTATGCAGGTGTGATTTACACCGCAAAAGTCCGTGACATCATTGGGATTTTTTCTTCTTCTAAAAGTAACGTAGAATGCTAAAAAATAATTTATCGAAATGACGGGAGAAAATAAAAATCTACGTATTTTTCATTTAACAAAATTCGCAACGACAGCGGCGAGTGTTCAATTTTTTTAAATAGCTTCGCTAAAATCTCATCAATCTTTTGATATCTTTCGTAAAAAAAAATTGAGAAAAGATAACACAAAAGCGAGACAAGAGAAAAAAACTAAAACAAATTAAAGTTGACAAAAATCAGCAAACTTGGTCAGAACGAAAACACAACGAATCCTATATCCTTCTTTCCCCTCCCTTCTCTCTTACGTTCCTCTTTGATGCTGGACACGGCTAACACTGCAGGAATGCACGCAATGTCCTGCGCAAAGCTTCGCGGTCACAACAAGTGGAATATTTACATCCTCAAGGGAACGCTGACCAGACGGGGATCCGGATTACATATTCAATGTTGCGCGCGTCGGATAAACACACTCTCATACCAGGGCACCGTGGGCTGAGCGGGCGATGGGAGTCGTGGGGTTTACGAGGTGTCCTTTAACATTTGCAATTACATTTCCCATTCAATCAAAAAATTAAACTGAACGCTTTCTTTTAGTAGGAAAGGCCCCCAAAAGCTATATAGATATTTTTTCAGAAGTGACCTGTCCACAAATGATAGCTCAAATTTGTGGCTGGTAAGGCAGCCCCGCAAAAGCCTACAAAACCCGTAAACTGACCAGCTTTTATATTAACCCCGATCCTAAAAGCAATATAAAAGTGGTAAACACCCCCCCCCCCCACCATTGCAACCAACAAGAATCACAAGAAAATTCAAGAACAGCCCAATGGAAATGCTATCCAGTCCGGTACTAAATTGGGACTGCATGGCGCACGAAAGTCCTGCTTGGGGTGGAGAACGATGCAGCCCTCCTCGAGGAGTTCTCACCGCGTCAAACGAGGTCAAGTCCACACGGCATTGCGCGTTGCGATTTTCAAAAAAATGTTTCTCCAATATTTTGCAGCGGTTTTCTTTGTCTTCCCAAAAGTATTGTACTCAACAAACGGTTCACAGTACACACACAAAGGGAAGTGTATGGGAATTGACACCAGTAGACACAATGATCATAGGTTTTTTCCCCTTTTTTCTGGCAACAAAACAGGTGTTAAGATGTTAAAACAGCAAACTGAAACCTTTTACAAGGAATCATGTCTGCATTAACCACAATGCTTGTGGTCAGAATGCAGACAAAAAAACATACTCTGATAATATATGCATTGTCCTTGAAACTGATTGGTCCACACCAGAGACAGCTTTATTTTGAGCCTCGTCTAACACCGTTTGAGACGAGGGCCAATAGAAAGCTGTCACAGCGGACCGAGTTCTCTGTGGGGAGGAACAACGTCAAGTGGGAGCCACTGGTAGACCCTCGGAAGGTGCTCATGCCACCACTGTAGATAAGGAGTCGGCAGCCTTCAAGTACCTTCAAGACTTCTTCCCTAAGCTGTCTGAGGCAAAGGTCAAAGCCGGTGCCTTCGTTGGACCACAAATAAAGAACATCCTTGAGTGCAGTGAATTCCCCAAGAAGCTCACTAGCAAGGAGAAAGCAGCTTGGAACAGCTTTGTCGCAGTGGTTCGTGGCTTCCTGGGCAATCACAAGATCGCCAACGATGTTGAGCTGGTTGAGACTCTGGTGAAGAACTACGGCACAATGGGCTGTAGGATGTCCCTCAAAGTCCATATCATTGATAAATTCAAGAACATGGGAGCGTACTCGGAGCAAGGCGAGCGCTTCCACCAGGATATACTGGACTTTGAACGGCGCTACCAAGGACAGTATAACAAGAACATGATGGGAGACTACATTTGGGGGCTGATTCGTTAAAGTGATTTACAGTATAATCGTAAACCTCGAAAAACTACTCACTTCTAAATCTTTTGTAGTCATTTTTGTATTACGTTAGGATAAATACATGTAAATTTTGATTCATGTTATTTTTTTCTGACTTTATGTGAACAAAAAGACTCAAATTAGCCCGTTTTTTTTCATTGAAAATAGTTACATTTAAAAAAATATCACTGTCCTGGTCACAAAAGCAAAGTTTGTGGGGAATAATAGCCATTTTCTCTACTTTTTAGGCATAAGCAATTACGAAATAACACCAGCTAACCAGGAACAAAAATTGCGTTACATAGTGAATTATTAGCAACGTCTTGTATTTTGAACGATGCAGCTCTCTTCGTCTTCGCACCGCGTCCAACAAGATAAATGTGGCATTTGACCGAACGATGAGTCCACACGGCTTTGCGCGATTTGCGACTTTCAATATTTTCTCTCAAACATTTCCCGGTGGTGTTTTTTTTTCTTACCAAAACGCATTGTATTGGACAAGCGATTCACAGCGCGCACAGAGGGGGCGCGTGCACAGGAATTGACACCAGTGTGGACACAGTGCGACGTACGACGATCATTACCAACATTTTATATGGTGAACCTGCCTACGTCTTTCAATAAACTCTTACATCCCCGGTGTCTACTTACTTAGCTCAGATAGCCCTCTTGGGGAAGGACGGGATGGGAGGAGAGGGGGAGGAGAAGGAAAAAGAAAAGGGAAGGGCTATGAAGGAGAGGGGTGCGGGGGGCGTAAATGCCCAAATGAATGATCTTAAAAATCAATGCCCACTGGAGAAGAGGCTGTAAAGGGGTCCTCAAGTTTGGTGATGTATGCTTCTTCTCTGTGCCTTCATTTTGCACTTAGGTCTTTTAGAGCAGTTCTTTTTTGACAATTTATTGACCCAGACTTGCAGTGATGGGGAAGGGGGGCGTGCGTGCTCTTTCCAGTTGGCAATAAAGTTGCGTTTTGCTATTTCCCAGTGTTTCAATAGGGCGGCAGGGAATGGGGTGGGGTCCAAAAAATCCTCCGTTTTATGTAGGAAGACATATACCCACCACGGTGGCTAGGAGATGTTAACCACCTCGCCAGGTACACAGGAGGTCGTGGGTTCGATCCCAACTCGACGCCTGCTGCTGCTGTATATTTGGAGTTTGCGTGTCTCTCTCCCCCGTGGTCGAATGGATTTTTCTCCGGGTCCTCCGGTATTCCCCTCCACATTTAGAAACGTGCGTTTAGAGTATTGGGCTGCTATACATTTCCACATGGCAAGCCACTTTGTTGAGCTATCATCCGTGGTCAGGTCGCTTCTGAAAAAGAGCTATATAAAAGCTCAGTGGGCCTTACCTGGAAAAAAAATTGTTTCTAGTTTCTATAGTTCATTGGAAGACACTGCTGCACTTATGAGAACACCCTGCTGCATGGCACATAACGCAACCCATACTTACTTTCTCCTGATTGGTCAAATAGTAGCGGAATTTCCACACCAAGTCTTGCTCCTCGGAGGTCAGCTGTTTGGTCGGTGGGTAGCCCACGATGATCTGAGGGGAGAAATGTTTTTGTTTGAAAAATTTCACAGGCATTTTGATCACCTGGCAGTTGGGGGGGGGGTGGGGGGGGGCAGGCAGGAAGGTTTGTAACGCAGCTATTAAAAATTACAGGGGCTCCTCTACTTACAAACATCTCGAATTACGAACTTTCAGAAATACGAACAAACCTGTCCGTACGTCCCGTTGCCTGTACCGACCGAGAGTCGTAAGTTCAACCGCCGCGCAATCGATGGAGGTGGTGGCATCTACATCTGCAGAACATTAGGAACCAGCGCGCCATCCATAACTACAGAATATTCTACAGCTTCTAAAGCCATTTCTTGTGTTTAGCATACATGCCGTACAGCATGTTCGGAATCGAAAAGCGTAATGTTGGATTTACGAACAAATCCACTTACGAATAGACCTCCAAAACCTAACTCGTTCGTAAGTAGAGGAGCCACTGTAACTATCTTATAATTAACGCGACACGAGTAATGGAGGAGAGAAAGGTTTTATTCCAACAGTTTTCCCTAATTGGTAATAATGCAGCCACGTACTCCCCAGTTAAATAATAGGTCTCTGACAAGTTGCCGCAATTATGTGACAAAACACACGGGGGATAGGCAGACGTGGTCTGTGTTAAATTGCACCAGGTATCATAGCAACCTTGCTTACGTCATCTACATTTTTAACAGTAAAACACACACACACACACACGCTCACGTAACTGTTTGTTTAAGTGGCCGCCTGCTTGAAGCAGCAATTTTAATTTCTTTATTGTTTTAATTGTTTACTCCTGAACTTCAAAGAGCTAATGGCAATCTGTGCTTTTTTAGCTGCAATACACATTGGGACTGTGTTTATAAACACACCCTCTTTGAAGTTATCGAATGTGGCCACAAAGAACTTGGCAGGCTAAAAACCCACATTAGCAACACTCCTGACTCCTCTTCCTAAAGCCCCAAGTCAATGCCTTCCCTAATCTTTCTTGAACATAACCACTCCATCAATACGTTTCACAATGTTAGCCTATTCCCCCAAACGCCGTTTGTTTTTCACAGCACGAAACAACAAATGTCTCTTATCTCGTAAGACAGCACCCAGGTTCAATGTACCGGTTTGCCCAATGTGTGTTTTTTTGTTTTGTTAATGAAACAAATAACATTTTATTATTTGTCAGCACATCATTACCGCAGAGCAAGGAGTTTTCCACTCCCAAAACGTTTTACTGAAACGTCAATCGAGCGATGGCACTAAAGCCATATAACTGAATGTCTGACTCTGATGACGCTTAAAACGTTTATCGTGCAACTTGGGTCGCACAGCCTTGGGTATGAGGAAACATACAAAGGAGGATATAAGTATAGTACAACAGATCGATACAAGTGCTGTCGACCCTGCTTGGATAGCGTGATCTGATGTTGTTGGGCATACTCTGGGTGATTGATCGTAGGCATCTTCAACCAAATTACTGCATTGGCTGTAAGTGTTCATAGGTGACAGGCATTTATAATGCACACTCTACTCCAACAGTGTGTAAGATGATGTTTCAAGAAGTAAAGGAACTTCGAACATTATTCTGTGAACTAAATTATTTCAGTGCAATTGTGTCGTATTTTTCTTTCAATTTAATCCACCAGGTGGCAGACTTATCTCGTCAACAAATATAGCGTCACCCTTGCATACGTGCACATTAGAAGAGCGGCGAGAAGTTTGTTTTCGTTTGATGAGGTTGTGAGGACAAATTAAATACATATTTAAGAAGCGCTGTACCCTGCTGGAAAGGTGTTGTATGTATGAATGTTGAACTTCTCTCGCTACCGTACGTAGCCAACCGTGCTAATCGGAGGTGCAGGGGAAGGATAAGGTGTTCTCACGTTGAGTTGGTCTCGTGTGGCAGCGTTTGGTTTGAGGTCACGGTCGGATGGACCGGAGCGGAGGCTGCGCGCCAGCTTGTGGTGCTTGCTCTCCACCAAGTTCTCCTGCAGAATCACAAAATAACCACCGGTTAAGCACGGTTGGCTCCGCACGGTGTGAAAGAAGTTCAACATACATATATACATCTCCATTGCCACCAACAGCAGCGTGAAGAGCAGCCGCAACAAACTGCTCCAATACCACCACCATCACCCAACACAAAAGACAAAGATCCCCCATACTGCTGGGGCAAGTGCTGTTAGCGAGCACCTATGAAGGCCGGCACTGTACACGAGGGGGTGGTTGGTCAGCACCATAACTGGCCACCTTTATCTCCCGAGTGGAGATGTTTTAAACATCGCACCAGGTAGTAATTTTAAGCTGAGTCGACCTAGGGGAGGCCCAGGACAAGTTCAGATATACGTCATTGGTGTTGGCCATGAGCGGGAATCGAACCATCATTAGCACCATCACCACCACCAGCAGCACCTCCACGAAAAGCACCACCAGCAATTACATCAGCACCACTACCACCAGCAAAACCCCCATCACCTCCACCACTGCCACCACCAACAGTGAGGTTTGTGTATCAGATAAATCTACCCAGAAGAACACACCATCCACTACATTTTCCTAAACATTGTCTAGGAATCAGCAAATTCCACCACATGTTCAGGGCCAATCCGGTGGGGCCTTCTCACTGTGGAAAAGATGAGGCCAAAGAAATTTAAAGTCAAAGCCAATTCAAAAGTCAACGACAAGCAATGAGGCTACTTAGGGGCCAAGCAATCGCACCCAAAGGCACTCAGCCCGAACCAGGCTTCATGTCTGTATTAGCATAATTGGCCAGAGTACAATGTAATTATGATTCACAATAGATTTTTGTGTCAGATGGTGTGAGTTAAAACGAGAGACACAATCATATTGGTCTCGAAAAACTTACATGTTATATTTGCAATGCGAACTCTGCTGAATTACATAAAACAAAGACGAACGTTTTTAACGCGTTTTTTTTTTTAAATAACTTTCATTACTCGGTAGAACATGTGACAGCAGGTGTACGAGTTAAGAGTGGGGTTTTGCTTTGGCTCGCGTCGAGTGAAAATCTTTTTAGTGTGTGTGTGCGACTGGGTGGATTGGGGAGGTACTCTTATGACGGGACGGGAAGTGTTGCGGTAGGAGTGCAAGATGCAGGCAGAGGGCGAACTCTATGGCTAGCGGTGGAGTGGGACGCACGTGACGCACGTGATGCAAGTGCGTAGACAAGAGCGGAATTGGACGGAGGGGGCGGAATGAAGCATGTTTCAGATTTTGATTTAAAGCTTTCGTGACTGCAGGGATTCATATTCTTGGTTCTTTCGGTAAAGTCACCACGTAGAAGGGAAACAATAAAATAATAAAAATTAGAAAAATGTTCTTGCTGTGCTTTTCACACCTGATGATGATTGATTGTGTTGCAGTCGAAACGTCGTGAGAAGTTTGTTGTTTTATATATATTTTTTATTATTTTATTGTTTCCCTTCTACGTAACTTTACCGAAAGAACCAAGAACATGTTTCAGATGTTTTAAAAGCATCACCTCTAAACCGGGGCAATTTAATCACTGACCGCACAGTATCTGTGTATGTATGTTGAACTTCTTTAACACCGTATGCAGCCAATTGTGCTAATTGGAGGTGCGGAAGAACAAAAGAACCTCCCAGGTGTCAATTTACCCCGTAACCAACGTTCTTGTCCTGAATCGCATCAGAACATTGCGTGGTGGACCTGGCCATCACCTACACCGATGAACATTTAAGATATTCGCCTGGCTACTGATGAAGCCTTCCGCTGGCTTACCAACCTCGACGTGAGTGTATATAAAATGTCGATGCATCACGGGTCTCTATGTCGGTCTATGAGTCTCCATTGCAAGTCGATACCCTGAACCATGGACTGCAGAGTACATCGTCGCTGCCTGCTTCGATCATTTGGCGGCTGCATTTCAGAGATTCACCGGGCAGCTCCAGAAGCCGTCCCACTGGCTCATCAATGTTGACGTGAAGAAATTGTAAATGTTGTGGATTAACTCTTCAACACACCGGTGGGCTAAAGTAGGGAACTATGTCTTTTGTCAACGGGACACTTTTTTTACTGATTGGCCGTGTCAAATGGTGGAGGGTTACGACACATTTATAAATAACGCGATCTAACCCAAAAACGTTTATTATGAAGAAATCCACATTGCAGGGCAGCTGCAATGACACATGAAGACCTCCAAGCACTCCACAATGAGGGTGGACTGCATGCTTAGGTTGCTTACCAGAGACATCTGTGGATCAGGAACTTTGACAATCTCCGGGTTCAGCAAAACCTCGTCCACCTCATCTCCCTCCTACATTTAACAGAAAACAAAGAACACACTTGAAGCCAGCTGGAGCCGAACAATAAAAGGGGTTATCAAGCAAACAGCCAGCTTGCACAAGTTTAATCCGGGAGGTCAGCAACCAAAATAACAAGTAGAGGCATTTTTTTTTAACAAATTCAGTAAAAAAAAACTCAATATTGCAAGAGCCGCAACGCACGGGATCACGAGTGGTGGTCTCTATAAAATAACTTCACGAAGCGGTCCTTAAAGAACCATGTGTGGCTCCGGAGTCGCAGGTTGCCGACCCCCGAGTTAGATGGATGACCCCCTGCTGCCGCCGGGATAATTCCGTTGGATATTACCAGAGCGCTAACCGTTGTCGGGAATTTGTATGTATTAACACAAAAATATATATACACGAATTAGCCACTGTTATGGAGTATTCCAGATTGTTTAAATATATAAATCATTCTCAGCTATTTATTTACTGTTCCTAATGCTCCACAACAGTTTGGAGGAAGTTTTTTTTGTACAATGTATATTATTGATTTGACAGAACCACTGGCGATGTTCAACGCCGTTGGAAGTGGTCCATGGAACTGTTGCAGAATTGTTTCAATTTCGAAGTGTACATTATTGTATGCGTGTAATGTTGAACTTCTTTCGCACCGTACGTAGCTAACCGTGCTAATCGGAGGTGCGTGAGAATCGGGGTTTGGCGGTGGTCTGTGGGTCCAAAAATGTTGGGAAACATTAACGGTTTAATGGGAGTGTTCCTCCATATAATATTTGGCAAACCAGGTGTATTTGTTTAACACGCCACACTCTACTGATGAGACACAGAAGTCGACACCAGCCCAGATGGCATAACTCTCTCAAGCACTATGTCCACTGCAGTGTATGTATTATTTCATGGAATTTAGCTCCTGAACGTATTGCCATATCTAAGAATGTATATAATTACAAAGAAACGACACTAAACATTTTAACATGTTTATTCATGAGTGTTAAGTAAATGATGCTGGTTAATGCAAATCAAGAAGGCGAATAGGCCAAGAGATAAACAATATTTAATTCTAAAAGAGAGGTACAAAATGAAGGTCAATTTATTGAAATTTACATGAATAGTTGATCGCGAGCAAAATCTTACACGGTGCAAACTTTTTCTCCCCAGTGGCCAATTAAAAAAATTAAACAATACATCCTCCCAAAATTAGTTTTCTTATAAATTAAATGTGCGCACATCCGGAGATCTATCCACTATATGTTTGAAATAATTAACTACAAAGTTGTACAGCCATCTAAAAAAGAACGGGCATTGGTGAAAAGCCAACCAAACGGCCACTCAAGTGCAGTGAATCGTGGCTCTGTGTCTGGCTCTGTGGCCCAAATCTGGTTTTCTGTTATTGACCTGTTCGACACATTACTCTTAGCTACAAGGAGGATGACATCGCATGGATAACCACGATACCTCGCTGATCTCGCCAAGGAGCATAAACCGTCACGCAAACTCCGGTCATCCTGGCATCAGCAGCGGCTTCTGGCTGGCCGTCAAACAAAGATGGTCACTGCATTGCGCGCTTTCAGATGCGCTTCTACGGCCGTCTGGAACGCTCTTCCTTTCAATGTTAGGTAGCCACTGGAGCTATGCACTTTTAAATCTATGCCGAAAACGAATTTCTTCAGAACTGCTTTTTGTGTTTAGTTCATTGTCCTTCCCCCGCACCTCCGATTAGGGCAGTTGGCTTACGTACGGTGCGAAAGAAGTTCAACATACATGCATACATAGCCTTTCTCGTATTGCATAGCAGACTGATTTGTGTAAATCTACTGCAGACCAAGAATGTGCCCATCTAATGCTAATGAGTTCGGAATAAACAATCCATGGTATTAGCTGCGTGGGTGCAATGCTGTCTTAAAAAATATCTTGTGAACTCATGCAAGATCACATTACAAAAAAAATCCAGTCAAAAAAAGAACGTCAAAATTCCCTCCGAGCTCATGTGGTTCAGAGCATACCACTGGCTTATATTTCTTGTTTAGTGCCATGATTTAGAAATCATGTTTAAAGTATTACTCCTAAATTTAAACACATTTTGAAAATGTACAAAAAAAAGTTACATTCCTTCCTATTACCCTCGATGTTAAATTTCTACAACTGACATTCAGACACTTAACACTCGAGCACATTTCACAGCCTCGCACATTCCCCCGTGGACCAATTGACTCGCTGACCCACTCAATTCATACGGGTGCCAAGTACCGTTGTCACTTTCCGACCGAACCACCTGATGATTGATGCAAAACCAATGACTCACTTCACAACTGATTGCTGTGACTCGCAATTACAGTTTTCATTAACCCGCAGCAGTTGTATTTCACAGGAACGAGGCAATGCAGCTATTGTCACCGTTGAAAGCTCTCATCAATCAGCCTCTCAATTTGCTGTATTTAACAAGGTGACAGGGCTCAGCCCCACCACTGCCGCTCCCCCCATCTCTCTGTGGCAGGAGGCCGGAATTAGCCATCTCACCTTCTCGTAGTACACAACAGCGTACTCCGTGTCTTCGAACACCACCCGAGGAAACTCCACCATCAGGTACATGAAGTTTGAGTTCCTTTTCTCCTTCTGTCGATGAACAACACACATCAGAGACGTAATCAGGTCACTTGCACTGCAATGCCATACTATAGTGGATGGCGGCAACAATAGCAAATAATTACAGGGTACGGCTGGACAGCCGATGATCTGAGAAGCTAAGCATGATCGAGCCTCGGTAGAGCTCGGATGTGGGAGACCAACGTGCATAACAGGTAGTATAGGCTATGGATCCACATTGTGGGCAACAAAGGCAAGGGCAGCCAAATCAACTGTTGTGCTCTACTTGCTATGGCTCCCATATCAAAGCTCCCCAACCAGCGCTGGCCAGCACCGTGGCATGGTCAAATAACCTGTATGACCCGCACGACATGGGGAGGCCCTCATCCAGCAGTGGATTGACAAAAGGGGCTCGACATGTACATAATTGTGTGGCTGTGAGATCCTGAGGTCATGTTAAACATGGCTCAACGTCTTAAGATTATCCACCACCTTGGCATCTCCAACAAAGGGTTGTGGAAAGAGAGTGATGAGGATGTCGGTGAAATGAACAATGATGGCGAGGACCGATTTGATCCTTGTGTGACGTTAAACCGAATCCCAGCGACAGTGTCACCTAAAATAAATACATGGCTCAGGAGGGGACACCACCTCAACCTCCCATCACAGCTCAGGAGGGGACATCACCTCAACCACCGCAACCTCCCATCATCACAGCTCAGGAGGAAACTGCATCTCAACCACCTCAACCTCCCATCGTCACAGCTCAGGAGGGGAATGCATCTCAACCACCTCAACCTCCCATTATCACAGCTCAGGAGGGGACAGCATCTCAACCACCTCAACCTCCCATCGTCACAGCTCAGGAGGGGACATCACCTCAACCACCTCAATCTCCCATCGTCACAGCTCAGGAGGGGACATCAACTCAACCACCTCAATCTCCCATCGTCACAGCTCAGGAGGGGACAGCACCTCAACCACCTCAACCTTCCATCATCACGGCTCAGGAGGGGACAGCATCTCAGCCACCTCAACCTCCCATCGTCGTGGCTCAGGAGGGGACATCACCTCAACCACATCAACCTTCCATCATCACAGCTCAGGAGGGGACAGCATCTCAGCCACCTCAACCTCCCATCGTCATGGCTCAGGAGGGGACATCACCTCAACCACCTCAACCTTCCATCATCATGGCTCAGGAGGGGACAGCATCTCAGCCACCTCAACCTCCCATCGTCACGGCTCAGGAGGGGACATCGCCTCAACCACATCAACCTTCCATCATCACCGCTCAGGAGGGGACATCACCTCAACCACGTCAACCTCCCATCGTCTTGGCTCAGGAACCTAGTGTGGAGTGCGGTGTTGCGAGGTGTAGGGTGAAGGTTCACAAGCGGGGGTCCCATGGGATGGAGAGAGGTTGAGCGACAGACGTGCCCTTGGGCAGAGAACTTCAGAAGAGCGCTCTTTCGTGATACTCTGCTTTGGCATTGGTAAACAAGAACAATTAAGAACAAGCCTGATCGACAACCGCGGATTTCTAGGTGATTTATTTTTAATGTTATTTCCCAATTGTATTCCATTTATGCTATCCGCGTCATGTCGTATGACAAAGTATCCATTCAGAACTCTTGCATAGCAGCGCATCACCCATGGTAGGGTATGGTCCATGCCAACAGCAGAGCCCTTAAAGTGACCTTCGTGATCTCCATTCGCAAGCCCCGTCCCACATGACACAAACACCGAGATACATTTGTTGCATGGCAGCAAAACTGGCAAACAAAATTATTCTCACGAGCTGGAATTTAGTCAACTCGCTACACTTGAGAACCCGGTTTAATCGTCAGTTGGGCTGGTTGAAAGCCAGATAAGAACCCAGCACATCTGCAGTGCCAGCTCAGCACCCTGACCCCTGAGCCACCTGGCTACCTCGGCGAAGGTGACCGATGAGATGAGTAATGGTGGCGCTGAAAATGAGAGTCATGACAACGACGAAAATGAGACCGACGACAACAACGATGTTGGGGTGGTGATAAAATACCTCATTAATCATCTCAATTTCACGGAAAGTAAGGCGGTCCAGCCAGTCCACCTTGACCATGTGTCCCTGCCGATGAGCTTTGGTCAGCTGCAAGAGGACACAGTAGGAAGACAGAATTAGTAACGTCTCGAGCCGGAGGACATGTGCAATTTTGTAATGGTATTTTTGCCTTACCGTCATTTTAATTTAATTGTAAATTTAACAGACTGATCATCTTGGCATACGGCATCGCATTAAAAGCTTAACTGGTTTAAAATGTCAGTCCTCGTTAAAGTTAAACACATTTCATATTCTGCGTAGCATGATATGATTCAACATGCAGACTGCAAATGGATGAGCATAAGTTGCCTGACTCAGAACAATGACTGTCTTCACACCATGTCATTGTAATGGTAACATAACACAGTATTACTACACCCATCAGCGTCATTTTCAGAGATAACCGCTATGGTTATTAGCAAACCCTGCGGAAATAACCATAAGCGACATGAGATATTAAGTACTGTATTGTATATTGTGAGGTGGGGAGGTCATTCCATTAATTTGAGTATCATTACATCTCTTGACCAAGACCAGTGAAGAGTTATATCTGAACCAGTCCTGGGCCTTTCCTTTTAAGTATGGTAAAATAACCGCCACACTCACAGGGCACGGGGAAGACCTTGTCTAGCAGTGAAATGACAAAGAGCTGTACCTAAAAACAGCAGTCAGTATGATCACATGCAAGCGATTAACACCACACACTGGCTAATCATTGACTCTGATTGTCTATGGCATCATCCTTTCCTCAATCTTCCAGGGAAGACAATGAGTTTTCAGTGCTAACTTTTTAGAAAATTGTTTAGATTATTCGAACATTTCCTGCAATGACTGAAAACGATGATCCTGGAATTTTACTGCTATAAATTTCCACATGATAAGCCACTTAATTGAGCGATCATTTGTGGTCAGGTCTTTTCTGAAAAATAAGCTAATAGCTCAGTGAGCTTAACCTATTAAAATACAATTTTCGTTTTATTTGTATATTATTTCAGTGATTTGCTTACCTTTCCTATACTTTGCACTTCTATTGTATTTTTGCACTGTTTATTGTTGTAACATTCTGACCAGCCCCTAGTGGACATGTCAAAAAGAGCTTGATAGCTCATCAGATTCCTCCAGTATAAATAAAGATTCCGAAATCTGATCTGTACTCGTGACTCTGGTACTGTCATGGCCGACGTTCTGACTGCCAAGGCTGGTGTTGTCCTGCTGTGTACGTAGGCGGCCCTTGTCCAGAAGCCACTGAGACCATCTCACGTCGCAGTCCCAGCCGCCTACCCAGAGTCTGCTGCGCCAGTTTCCACTGTGTCTTGCCAGAGATTCCCACTCATTGACGGTGGATGTTAAAGCCTTTGAGGTCACACTTGCAGATGTCCTTGAAAAGGTTTTGATTTGACCTAAAAGTCTCTTGACTTCGATTGTACGAGCTGTACGATTTGCTTTCAAGATTACTTAACGTTTGAAAAATGTAGTGCTTGGTTCAGATTTTGTGACGTGACTACAAATGTAAACAAAATAATAAATGTTAAATATATTACTCTTTGGTTCTATTCGGTAAAGTCACGTAGGTAAAAAATAAAACAAAAATCACGGCGTTTCAGCCACAACACAAGTAGCCACTTGTGTTGTGGCCACTTGTGTTGTGGCTGAAACGTCGTGATTTTTGTTGTTTTATTTTTACCTACGTGACTTTACCACTTGTGTTGTGGCCGAAACGCCGTGATTTTTGTTGTTTTATTTTTTACCTACGTGACTTTACCGAATAGAACCAAAGAGTATGGATTCTTGCAGTCACGAAAGCTTCAAATCTAGAATAGTTAAATATATTATATTCAACTGCCTGTCTTGAATCACAAACATTAGTTTTTGTTACAAGCACTGATGCACATCGCAATAAAAATGTGTTTTTTTTAAATATATGCATATAAAATGTCAAGGACAATAAAACTTGCAAAACCTTTAACTATATAAATATGAACCTTGTTATTGATTTTAAACGGCCAAATTTGATGTTATTCTCAGATGTAATGAAATATTTTGGGGGAAGTGTGACGGGTGTAGTTTTGATTACAGTATTCCACGTGCACTCATTATGTAATGTAACCAGATACCATGAGAAATGCAATAACCACAGCAACACAATTCACCTCCTTGCTTGTTTTTTTTTTTGCCAAACTCGAGCACACATTCGAAAGCAAATTGAATTCGTTTCTGGGGGGGAAACCATTTACACATTGAAAAACACAAGACCTCATTTTTTTATGCCAACAGTGCAAAAGCCCATGCATTCAAATGAACACCGTGCCATCTTAAAACAAGGCCACCGCGTAGTACGGCTTGATATGTTTCTCCCCCTGCTTGCAGGATATTCGACGAGTTTCTTTACTTTGGCAGACTCGATGCAAATGCCAAGGGAAATGACATTGAAGCGTACATTTTTAACACGGTCTGGTTTGACTTAGGCAACTCGCATCGATACTTGACCACGACCAACATCAGTGGCGGGTGGTATCGGGAACCGATCCTGATATTGGAGTCAGGTGGACCAACCCACACTGATCAGCATTGAGAAGTATGGGCAAACCCCCCCCCCCCCCCCGTGAACGCCTGACAAAAGGCTGTAAATATCAACACAGGTGTAAACATTTCCCTGCCCTCCTCTCTATGAAGTGGATGGTGCGTGAGAGCCATGGTTATTTCCATAATTTAGAAGCCAAGCTGCCTTTGATTGAGATTACGCGACTGTGTCTGGGCTCCGCTGCATTCTAATCAAGTCACCTGCCCTATTTCAGTGGGTGTACCCGGGCTGCATTATTACTGCATTTATTATACATAAATACACAGGACAGTTTTTTTTTATTAACAGAGTTTAGATAAATAATATACCCATACGATAAATAAAAATACAGTGTAAACTAAACTTTTTTTCCCAGATAAGGCCCCCTGAGCAATATAGCTATTTTTCAGAAGTGACCTGGACACAAAAGATAGCTCAACGAAGTGGCCTATCATGAAGGAAATGTATTGCAGCCAAACACTCTAAACGCACAATTCTTAATGTGGCAGGAAAAACCGTAGGACCCGGAGAAAAATCAATATGATCACGGGGAGAGAGACATGGAAACTACAAATATACAGGCGTCAGGGTCGGGATCGAACCCAAGACCTCCTGTATACCAGGCGAGGAAGTGTACATCTCGCCTCCATGGCCTAACATGTGTAGACAATGGCAATGCAGGTCATCCAAGCTCTCACAAACCAAGGCCTACATCAACGAAAATCTTTACAATATATTTTACAAACATGGAACAGCTGCACTGAGATTGCAGGAGGTAGCCAATTTTATGTCAGAAGGAGATTTAAGGAGACACACTTTCAGCGAAGTTACCAATTATACAAGGATAAATACATTATTCGAACATTTCCTGCAATGACTGAAAACGATGATCCTGGAATTTTGCTGCTATAAATTTCCATGATAAGCCACTTAATTGAGCGATCATTTGTGGTCAGCTACACTACCTCTCCCCACACATACATACGTGCGCGACCAAATATGTATAACTTAATTGGCACCGGGCACAAGTTCTGGGTGCGTCTTAATTTCTGGAGCGTGTCATAACCTTGGAGAATATGGTACGTAAAGTTATGCCTCATGAGGTTTAACGATTAATTTACGAGAACATTTTTGCTTTACCATCTCTTTAGCAGACGTATTTTTTTATTGTTTCACGGGAGAATAAAAAAACTACAAACGTTTGAAAGTAAATAATAATTCCATTCATATAGCGCTTTTCATCAAGGATCACGGTAGCAGCACTTAGCATAAAAATGTATATTACAAATACATTAAAAAAATCCATTTACAAAATGAACTAAATTTTTTATAAGCGGAAGTGTATAAATAGGTTTTAAGACACATTTTCAAAATGTCCACAGACTCAGAGAGATCCTTATATCTCGCAGAAGAGTCTTCCGTAGCCTGGGGGCTACACGGGGAAAATCTCGGTCACCCATAAGCCGAAACCTCGACCTGAGAATGCAGAGAAGATCTGCATCCCCACATCTTTGGGACCTTGAGGGGACATGGGGGTGCAGCATGTTAATGATGTAGGCTTGGGCAAGATGGTTCACTGCTTTGGAAGTTAGCAATAGGATATTCAAGTGAAAACAATTATATTGTTCTAGAGAACAGTTTTAACTTTAATTTGATGCCAAGATTGTGGGAGCTGGATTTCTGGTTGCAGAGTAGACAGAGATACTTAAGACATGAATATGATTCCATTGCCAGCCCCAAATCTCAGTCGTCCCCTGCTTTCGTAAATAAATAAATAAATATTAAACGGCTCTCATCTTCCAGTTCTTCAAAACAAATAGAAGGAATAAGTGCGACATAAAATGTCGACCACTTTTGTTACGAAAAAAAATCAATTTTCACAACCGCAAATGGCAGCACAAAGCGGGCAGCCGATGTTGTCTCATGCTGTGAGAAACACACTTTCTTAAAAAAAAATATTGCGGTATTCACTTAGAGTGCCGATTAGTGAAGTCAAAACTATTGTTGATAATTTCTCTCTTGATTTGGTACTGCCACCTTTAATTCAAGAGTTCTGTTAATGGGGGAAGAAAACGATGTCGTGAAGGCCACAATCAAAAATTCCTTTGAAATGTAGATGAGAGCAAAATATCACCTGAGCTGAAAATCAATTACACAGCCATTGTGAATAGCACAACACTTGAGGGGTAAGAACAGCCATTAGCATACGTGTGTATTCATTTGATGTCGTTTGCGTGGAATTTAATTGTATAATTTCCTTTGAAACAAGAAAAATCTTTCGCGAAATTATGATCAAGAGCCATGATTACATGTAAGAGCGCGCATATGCTTTATCCTCTGCAAAGGTTTGGATAATTATAAAGTTCACACAAAGACTTGTTACAATATCCCTCAACGGGTGAACCTCAACAGCATTTTATATAATGGACACATTACAGTGCTCGACTTCAGCTTTGAGAGCTCTCTTAAATTAAAAGCGGATGTATATATGTACGTTGAACTTCTTTTGCACCGTATGTAGGCAACCATGCTAATCGGAGGTGCGGAGAAAGGACAACTAAACACAAAAAGCGGTTCTAAAGAAATGAGTGTTCAATCTAGATGATTTAAAAGTGCATAGCTGCAGTGGTTTCCTAATGAGAAGAAAGAGCGTTTCCAGACGGCCGCAGGAATCGCATCTGAAAGCGCGGCGATGCAGTGACCATCTTTGATCGAGGGTTAGCCAAAAGCCGCTGCTGCAAGGATGACCGCAGTTTGCTTGATGGGTTATGCTCCTTGACGAGAGGAGCTCCTTGTTCCCATTCCACACAAATCTATCTTTGCTTTGTATTCTTCGGCTCGCACACCATTCTTTTGGCGCGGCGAACACCGAGACGATAGCACAATGGCGTATTGCGACCGCTGGAAAAAAATCCGCGTGCACCGTACGCGCCGGGCGCGATGAAAGCGAAGCTCTCAGCTTCATTTGTCGTTATTTGGCGTCACGATTTCACTCGGCCTCGTTTGTTCGTCGTGCGATATTCCTTAAGAAGACGCTGCAGTGGTTCTCTGCAATGTTAATGCCGATGTCTTATGTTTTGTCGTCGTTGTCGCCGCCGACACGCTCACGGAGTGCCGCGGATCTCCCGTGTAAAATAGCCGGGAAACTGGCCAAACGGGACCACCATCCGTGTAACAAATCAAATAAACTCGAGATGAAAGCAATATTTTGGTCATCTCATTTGTATTCTCCCGCTTGTATGGTACGCCTCAGATGCACCGCCTTGTTTGTGTTGTCTGTGCCGTCTGTACTGTCATCTTTGTATTGTCTGTTGTTCTTTTGGTCTCGTTGTTCTATTTGTACCGTTTTTCTTGTTTGGATAGTCCCATCTCATCTCGACCATCCTGTTCGTAGTCTGTCACTTTGTTTGCATCGTAGCATTTGTTCTGTCACTTACATTCCTTACATTACCCTAAAGGAATCATTTGGATGAAATGTGCATAATCGGAAATAATATTCCCTTATCTACAATGCAACACATGTACTAGGAGTCTGAGAATACACCTTCTAATCACTGCATCATTAAATGCCGACTATGAATATCAGCATTTAAAAGTGATTGTTACCTCCCATACATTTAGAATACTCTAACTAGTTATTGTGCCGATTGCAATGTTAGGCTTTAAAATCGTTTGACAAGCAATACACTAAATTCTTCACTTTAAACAATTTGAAACTCATATTCTTAGTTTTTTCGGTAAAGTCACGTTGAAGAGAAACAACAAAATAATAAAATATATATAAAACAATAAAAAATTCTCACGACGTTTCGACCATAACTCAAACGGTCATCTTCAGTCATCTTCAGATGACCGTTTGAGTTATGGTCGAAACGTCGTGAGAATTTTTTATTGTTTTATATATATTTTATTATTTTGCTGTTTCTCTTCAACGTGACTTTACCGAAAAAACTAAGAATATGAATTACTGCAGTCACGAAAGCTTTAAATCAAAATTTGAAACTCGTTTAGTAATCTGTATTAATGTCAATAAAATCTAAATTAATTAACGAGTGCACTCGGCTATAGACATACCACATTCGTTGCATAGCAGTTAGTATCTCCACAGACCTGTTAATGATGCAAGAACCTCAAATGTTTCACACAGTTCTGTATTTCACAATGCTGTTAGCGACATGAAATGAAGAAAAATGCCAGTGGTATATATCACTTACTTCCATCATTCTCTCTTCCTCCTGAGTTAAGAAAACAATTGGCCATTTCAAGTTGACATAAATATGAAATACAGAATTGAATCTTACAACCAGATTTGATAAAAAGTTGTTACAGAGTTATTCCTGGTAGTATTCACACACACACGTGTGGATTGAAGTATAACAAACAAAAACGGTGCAGTACTGCGTCACATATCCGCCCTGACCAATTAACCGCCCACCCCAGTGCAGTATTTTTTGCACGATGTAACTGTCATTTAACGTAGATATTCACATAAACAACATTTTCACATGTCCGCCTGTACCTCAGTCCATGGCTAGTCAGATATGCGACGTTGTACCGTACTTATGGTCACAGGAATATGGGATTTGCATTCAATTGCCTGCACAGAAAAATGTGGTATTAGGCCTCGGCAAGGTAAGGTAATTTACCCCTTTTACCAGGTAAAGGTGTCGACATGCCAAGGGGTAAGGTAAAAGGTAGAGTAAAGGTAGAGTGGAAGAATTACCCGGTAGGGTAAAGGTAGCGCGAAGTATTACCCGGTAAATACCTTGTTTACCGCTCGCTAAAAGCTCCGTGGCGCAGTCTGTGGCCTCCATTTAAAATTGGAATCGAGAGTATTCTATATGAATAAAGCGCTCTCCCTATCATTTACCTGTTACAAACCTTGTTCATGTGTAGTAGTGCCCCAGTAATTACCCTGTAATCGGGTAATTTGTATGGGGTAAGGGTAAGAGGTAGGGTAAAGGTAGGCTCGTTGTTTTTACCTTTTACCTTACCTTGTCGAGGCCTATGTGGTATACATTGAAACGTATTTTGGTGAGCCAACAGGCAGTTGGAAAATATTTACAAATTACAGGCTAAGCAAGGCATATTAAAATGTAAGGACAGACAATAACGGGTCTCTTTGCCTTTGTCTTACCAGTGCTAGTGCCTCATATTTAAAACGGGATCTAATTTTAGTCTGACTCGATCTAGAGGAAGGATCAGATATTGACTGCGTGTGCCATTTGAAACTAAGCTAGGTTAAGGAGACTGTAGCATCTTCATAGCTCATCGGATTTCTCCGGTATGAATCAATATTCTGATTCTGATTAACTTAAGGCGGAGTTTTCACAAACGGTCAGAGCACTGTGCTGAGCTTGGTTTACCCGAGTTTGATTCCCAGCCACGGCTAATATCAGTGGTGAGTAATATTTTAACCGGTTCCTGGCAACCGCTGCCATTATCCCGCACTGACCAGTGTGGTGAAGTATGGTTAAAACAACCCTCATGACCGACACAGCACAGAAGCCTTCATCCACAGGTGGACTGACAAACTGCAATTCTTTTAAAAATGAAACTCATTATGCCAATAGTTGAATCAAAACTCTTCATGTGTATAAAAATGTGTGAATAAAATATCATAAAAACAACATGTGTGTGTGCATATATAAAGTTAGACAAAAGATTTCAGGATTCACCAATACTGCACATTTATAATAATCTATGCACTAGAGCGCACCCTTTATAATGCATGCCAATAGTTACTGTGGCCAACTTATTCCAAACCAGTTAAGTCAGCACACTCAAAACATTGCTAAATCGAAGAATATGAGCAGTGAGTATAGAAACACACCCGTAATAAGTTGCATGTGTGTATCGAACGTGCATGTCCTTCTATATGAGCAGTGACGTCTCATAATCGCACGCTATATTGCGCACAAGCCGAGAATACAGGGCCTTGTGCGCATGCTGCAAAACAGGAAAGCTAAATCCACATGTGCATAGGATGAGGTCTGCCAAGGAGCAATTTTACCACTTCTATGGGAAAGCCACAGCTGACTGTTATTATTATGCACCTGGCAAATAAGTTCTGGCTCTTCGTGCAAATAAATAATGATATGGGTTTAACAAAAAAAAAACTGCAAATGTCAATTGAGTTGTCTGCAAAAGGCTACAACATTCTGTTGTATTTGCTGTTTGATGTTTTCTCGAGTATTTCCCCGAATTAAAATGGTTCAATCTTTCTGCGCTGCATAATGGAAATGTTACGCGGTGCTCGATAATTGCCTGTGTAGACAACGGGATGAACAACACATTTTCCCTTCTCAGCTTAATCTCATCTGCAACCCCTCCCCACCCCACACCCCCACCTCCCTTTCTTCTTATTACTGATTTTATAAGCTCGGGCGATTTCAGCTGTCAAGTTGACAACATTGGCCTGCAACTGCAGAAGAAAAAAAGCAAAAACTTGTCATTGAGCACAAACTCGGTTGGGTTGTGTGTACCTTCGCGAGCCGACTCATTTGATCGTCCCCTTGTGAGCTGCCCGCCTTGCCAGGAGTTGTGGACGGATGAGAACCATCTGCCTCCACTCCTGGCCACACACGCAGGTCGTGCATGCCCTGTCGGAACAGCCTGCCGTCGCGACGGCGTTAGCGAGTCATTTATGCGGAACACCCCAGTACAGTACTCACTTTAAACGAGTGGTTGTCAAACTTTCGGTAGGGTGGCACGCCACCCTTCCCCCCCACCCCCAATTTAGACCACTAGTCGCCACGTTGTGCACGTGCATGGTTTGCCGCCGGAACGTGGCACGAACGATCCCTGCGTACGTTCAACATTTCTCTAGCACGTTATCCATACCGCAGCCCCCGCCCACCAACCCCCTTCCACGAAAAGACTTTCATGCCCTCCTGGCAAAATGCAAAGCATGATGGAAGGACCGCTCTTATGGTTAAAATGGCACCTTTTGTGGTCTATAAATCACCTTTTGCCTGTATTATTCTTATTACGAGTGCTCACTTTGGTTTGGAAGAGCCAAGCAGCAACGCTTCATCCAACGTATGCAGTGTCAAATGTCTTTTAATATTCTTTTCATCTGATTTTTGCTCAGTATATATTACTCTGACCTTTACACATACCATGCTATGACAACCTTTCACAGTAAACGTACATTTCAATTTGTTATCATAACAGCATACAATGTTTACTCTTTGGTTTTTTCGGTAAAGTCACGTGGGCCGACAAAATAATAGATCACGATGCCTTCGATCGCAACGCAAGCGACCGTCGTGAACTCCCACCTGAAGACGGTCGCTTGCGTTGCGATCGAAACGTCGTGATCTATTTTATTTTGTCGGCCTACGTGACTTTACCGAAAGAACCAAAGAGTATGGATTCCTGCAGTCACGCAAAGCTTCAAATCAAGATTCATACAATGTTGTTAGAACGCTGTACAATTACATTTTATGGGCATAAACCAATGGTAACCCACTGACACATGTGAATATGTTCAAAGATTTACAAGCAATTTCGGGTAATTTTCATATCTGCAAAGCCCACTGATATTTTATGTACTATTGGTTTAATAACGTCACGAATGCACATAGGGATTATATGTTAGACATGTTTCAATACAAACACATTCTGTCATCGTTATTATGACAAAACTGAACATCTGGCAACCCAGCAGCGGTTTCTTAAATAGGCCATACTCAAGTCAGAAAACACAAAAACAGAAAAACCAGTCCAAAGTTTGGCTGCTTGAATAAATAATGCTGGAAAACATTTAATCTGAATATTCCATGGGCTTTCACTGATGCTGGTTTTCCAAAGATTATCAGTGCCCTCATTGTCAGGTCTACGGAAGACAAGCAGGATTGAGCCTGGATATGGATAATTATTCAATAGGTTGACCACCGTGCATAAAACAGGTGTTGTGGGCTGCTGTAGAGCTATGTTGGTAGCAAAGGGAAGTGCAGCAAAATCCACTGTTGTGCTGTACTTTCTATGCTCTCACATCTAACATCCTCCCCCAGCCATCACCAACCTTGCATTGACCAGAGTGGTAAAGCATTGTCAAAACACCCCCTACAACATGCACAGCACGGAAAAGCTGAGTGGTGGATTGACAAATGGGGCCGCACCTGTAAATGTGAGGAAAGTTAACACTCGTTTGGTGGATTATCTGGCTCGTGAAAACATTTATTTATTTGTGGCTCCGTACTTGTCGCGGGTCGGCGACTCAGCAGCCACGTGACAATCATCGGCAAGTCAGCCGGTACATCAAGAAACAATAAAAACGGATGACACATTCATAAGCAGTATTGTCGCAGTGCCATATCGCGACAAAAACTACTGCACGCAGCAATTAAGGGGCGGTACCCGTGCTTGCCGAACAGCGACACCGTGGTTCCTCCAACCGGCACGGCGCGGCCCGGTCCGTACATGTCCCACACGGTGAGTGCAAGCACCGCGTTCCTCGGCAGATCAGCAAACTTCACGGGCAGCTGCAGCCACTGGTTCCAACTTGCGCCACAACACACGCGCACAGGACACGCGCGAGGGTCACGGGTTAGGTAGGGCAAGGACAAACAACACACCTGAAATGCTTTTCCAGAGTAATTTTTGGCACGTCGATGACATGCCAAAGTCAATTTACAGAAAAATTGTATAGAATTGATTATGGATTCCATGACGTTTGGAATCGATAACTGCTTCCGTAAAAATGATAATCGGAAAATCTAAAATCAATAATCAGTACTCTTTGGTTCTTTCGGTAAAGTCACGTAGGTAGAAATACAATCAAACAAATCACGACGTTTCAAACGCAACACAAGCGTTCATCTTCAGGTGAAAATCGTGATAGCTGCGATGTCTGCTGCAAGCCGTACAGTGTCTGCTCCCTTGCGTTCGAAACGTCGTGATTTATTTTATTTTATTTCTAACTACGTGACTTTACCGAAAGAACCAAAGAGTATGGATTCCTGCAGTCACGAAAGCTTCAAATCAAGAGCAATAATCATCTTCATTTAGGACTTTACATTGGTCACCGACCTCGGGGTACAACATCCAAAACCTCACCAACGTAACCAGCCCTCCTGTATCTTGCATACACGCCCCCACACCTTGCCAACGCAACCCTTGTGTCCTAATCGTATGCTCTTTATGCCACATTGTACCCTGTTATAATCGTCAGCAACAGCCGTGGCCAATCCATTGCAGGAGGATGGCCTCCCCCCCCCCCCCAGCGGTCACAATCTCTCAAGGCTCCTGCAATGTAACAAAGACCAACATCCCTCCCGACAGCCTTCACAGACTGTTAGGGCTAGTGCTGTTAGCGAGCACCTGTGAAGGCCGAAACCGCCTTTGTCTCCCCAATGGCGATGATAACACACTAGACTAAGTACTAATTTGAGGCTAAATCGACCTAGGGGAGGCCCAGGACCGGTAAAGTTGAATCATCACCGGTGTTGATCGTGAGCGGGAATCGAACTCAGGCCGTCAGGTTCGTAGTGGAGCACACGAACAGCGACGCTACCGTACCCCACGCACCTGCACGCAAGGCGACTTCGTCACGCCATCTCTACAGCGGGAGCTCCCCTACCTCGGCTGCCACTCTGTTGTTTGTCTGAACCACCGGCTGCCCCTTCCGCCAACAAGCCGCGCCCAAGCCGGCTTATTGTGTGGCTATCCTCGCAGCGGCAGCGGGATTTTGGTTGGCCATCGAACAATGACGGTCACCGTATGCGCTTCTGCGGCCGTCTGAAACGCTCTTCCTTCCGATATTAGGAAGCCACTGGAGCTTGGCACTTTTACATCTAGATTTAAAACGTCTTTCTTCAAAACTGATTTGTTCTCCTTACCCCGCAACTCCGATTAGCAAACTTGGCTATGTACGGTGTGAAATAAGTTCAACGTACATACATACATATGCTTACCCTCCACTGGCAATAAATTCCTCGCATTTTATCAATACATTTACAAAAAGATGATAAACTTTTAATTACATTATCCTTACATGACAATGGCTAAAATAAACCATCGCATACAAAACATTCAAGATAACCCAAATAAAAAGGGCGATTGACTGAAAAGGGCAATAGCCAAATGCACCAACGGCCCTGGTAAGAATATGAACAATTGAGTGCGCTTGTTTAATAAATGACATGACTCACGGAGAGTAACCCAATTGCCCTGTCATGTGCCTCCATGTTACGCTGAATGTTCCACATGCATCAAGTGAGTCTGTATTTTTACAGAAGTGTAACAACCACTAATTTCAGGCTGCTTTAATGGGAACGAAGCTCGTGATAGTGTGGCTCACTACATAGCAAGCAAATGACAACTCCAGATTAGCACCTCCGATTCGCACAGTTGGCTATGTACGGTGCGAAAGGAGTTCAACGTACATACATTCAACTGTGTTTTAACTTTACTTTTTGATGTTCATCAATATCATCCAATCCACTGCTGGATGAAGGCCTCCACAAAGCATTACCATCTCTCATTCGGTGCCTAAATTTATGTACCTGCTGTACGAGCTGAATTCAGCTTGTGATTTAATTTCCCTATGTCTGTATTGGACAAACTTTTAAACTGAAATGGATGGTCGATTTCACACCACATCCAGTATACCCCTTGCTGTGGCTGTGGCTGCTAGCCCGCTTGCCTACTCTGGTCTAGCAGCGACACGGAAATTATTAAATGATTTTTTTTACCATGGCTGGGAGGATTCACAACTCAAACGAGTAAAACATGGGTTTTGGGATAGTAACACGGCCAGACAAACGGTAGCACTCTTGCGGGTTGTTGTATTGGTTCACAATTTAAACCAAGCGGGGGATGATACTGCGGGTTCACTGATTTTGGTCAAAATACAAAAAAAAATTGAGTATCGCTTGCAAATTACTTAATTGGGTAAACCCACATATCAACCTCGTCCCCTACCGTCAAACTTCCGCAGGCTATGTTAATTTGAAAAAAAACATAGCGCCTCGGCGATAACCTTGCACTCTAAAGAATTGCGCGAAAACCAAAAGTGCAATTGATTTGCATTGATTCCACGGCTGCAGGTTCTCCACGTACTTCCAGCGCGTGCTGAAGGGCTTGTAGGCGGTGCGCGTGGGCAGAGCCAGCGGCCTTCCGTCTCCCAACACTTGGCTTGTGACGTACAGGTGTGAACATGACTCCTGGTTCAGCCCGGAGAACTTGAGCATGGGGTCATCCAGTAGGTCCTTGTAGCTCTTCTGCTCCCGCTTGCCCTCCAGGCTACCTCTGAGAGGTAACCCCACAAGGAGACAAGATAATTTGCAATGGTAAGTTACGAATAATATAACCCTTTTTAGCGGTGGCCAGATGGCTCATTGGTCAGAGAGGTGAGCCGGCACCGCTGAGATCCTCGGTTCAATTCTGGGCTTCAGCCGCCTGTGATAAATCCGGGTTCGCAAGCCACAGCGAGTTGTCTCAGCCAGGTCACTCACAAAGTACTGCACGAAAAAAACCTATCAAATAAAATTTGGCTCTCCCCTTAATTGGGACTGAATTCTATCTCTTGAGAGTTAAAATATCGGTGTGGCTGCCACGTGACGGACATTACCCTAATATAGCAGACCAAGTGGAAAAGTCCTAAGCCTCTAATTTTTGGAACAGGTCACTTGAAGGGATGTCAGAAGTAGCTCTTTGATATAATCTTCTATAGGCCATTCTCTAAAGGCAAAAGAGTGCATTGCTCTGTGAGCAATCTAAATACTTTTTTCTCAAAATACTCGGGCCACATCGTGCAGTGGCGCAAACCACTATGCCACCATTTCCTATTTCACTCAAATAAAGGATCAGATCAACTGTAATTTTGAATAAAACCTCAAGTCCAAGTGGTTTCCCATTCAAATTAGTATTGGGGAGCACATCTGTTCACAGCCTTAAGTGGTGTAAATTAAATTTCACATTCATATGGCAGGGGACCTGTCCATCTGCAAGACATCATGTTCACTTGGCACAATGGGGCGCTCATTTTATCGCCCACAAAGAGATGAAGCGTTGAATCCACCACCAGTGATTTGAACCCGCATATCTCATTCTGACACATTCATCTGCATGCATGCAAGTATACAGCTCTTTGCCAATCCACTGCAGGATTGGTGCCTCCCCACACCACGCGGGTCGTGGATCTTATTTGACCATACTTCACCATGCTGGTCAACGCAGGTTGAACATAGACGTGGGAGCTTATAATTGCAGGACGATAGTTTTTGCTGCACTATTCTTTGCTGCCCTCCACGTAGCTCCCGCAGCCTATAACACCTGCTGTGCATGGTAGTCATCGACACAGTCACTCTCTAGGCACGAAAATCCTGCTAAGACTGCTAGATCTGACACATTAAACTTCGTTGGCAGTGGCGCACAGGTGAACAAAACAGCAACTTTCGTCAATAACACTGTGGCTTGAAAATATAAATATCATAGGCAACGTTTCGGGTAACGGCCCTGGCATTCCGGGATGGATCTGGTTAGCAGGAAATATTATTTTCGTATACGCCGTGCAAAGGCAGAAGTATGCAAATGAACATCCTTTATTTGGCCACGTTAAATCCCAAAGCGGTTAAGTCGCAGTGCTTCTCAAACGTTTTTTTCCAAGCTCCACACGGCACAGCTGGCTCGATCTGCGTGGCTCACCGAAACATAAAAAATGCCCAACTGCGCATCAAGCGCGGGCCGTGAGAGTCGAGAGCCGGGGGGCGGTGGCTGACCCGGCCGCTCTCTGCCACGGCGGAATTCGGAGGAGGTCCAGTAGATGGGTGTGGGGGATCGGCCACTGAACGGCGCGGAAAGTTCGTCTGTCCAAGCTTGCGAACGTTGAGACTCTTTGATTTCCTATAATTCCTAAAAATATATATATAAATACCGCGGCAATTGATTAAGACACAACACACTTGTCGGAGCCGCTTTTTTTTTACGCTGGCCATCGAACACAGACGGTCACGCGCATCGCGCGCTTTCAGATGCGCTTCAGCGGCCGTCTGGAACGCTCTTCCCTTCCGATATTAAGGAAGCCCAGTGGGAACTACGCACGTGAAAGTAATCTCGATTGAAAACTAATTTTCTGTTGAACTGCTTTTGGGTGTGTTTAGTTTGCTGTCATTCCCCACCCCCGCACCTCCGTCGAGCGCGGTTGGCCACGTACGGCGCGAAAGAAGTTCAACGTACAGTACAGTACAGACGTATCCCAAACATCGACTGAGGCGGATTTGATCGTCTTACATTTTGAGTTGAACGTTCAACTCCAGGTCGCAACTGTAGATGTAGAAAAACTTGTCCGCGTCGCCCATGACTGTAGCTTCGCGCGACGTAAAAAAAAAAACCCTTTTTAAATGTTATTTGTTTTTGTTTAAAAAGAAAAAGGGAATCAACACCGACGTCTCGGGGTCGCCAGAGGCCGAACCGCCTCAGCTGCCCGACAGCGAACAGGGAGAGCCGAGCGGCTGTCGCATGCAAACATTATCGCGACCTACGAATCGGACCCGGAGGGGCTTCGCCGAACGCTCGCGGATGCTTGCTAATGTTAAATGTCCATTCGAGGTGAGTTTAAACAAAACGTATCGTCGTGTAGCGAACCCGTGAGGGGAGTGCGGCGGCAGGAGACACACTTGGCGCTCGACTGTTTACCACTTCGCGGGGGGGGGGGGGGCGGCGCACGTGACGCGGAAGCGCGGATGGAGCACGTGCTCCCACGAGCGCGCCGACGATTGGCCGAGGCCTCCCCCCCCCCCCGCCAGGCCGACGTCATCGCGCACGACGCTTCGGGGCAACGCGATGACGTCGTTACGTAACGGGTGGGGGAAGGAGGGGCATAATAAAGTATTAAAGCTTTGGTGACTGCATAAAATTACTCATTGTTTTTTTCGGTAAAGCCATGTGTGTAGAAATACAATAAAATTATATTAAAACAAAAAAAACAATCACGACGTTTCGATCACAACGCAAGCGATCTTCATCAGGTTTCAAGAACAAATCACGGAGGTAAATACAACAAAAATATGAGATAGGAATAGGTTTTACCCTTTTAACTGGCACAAAAACTGATACCTTTATTCCAGGCATCATGTTTGCAATAACCACAACACAAGCAGTCAAAATGCAAACAAAAAAGACAACTCTGATAATAATATGCACTGTCCTTGAATTTGATTGGTCCACATCCGAGACAGCTTTTTTTAGAGCATACTCTCCAAATTCAAGGACAGTGCATATTATTATCAGAGTTGTCTTTTTTGTTTGCATTTTGACTGCTTGTGCTGTGGTTATTGCAAACATGATGCCTTGAATAAAGGTGTCAGTTTTTGTGCCAGTTAAAAGGGTAAAACCTATTCCTATATCTGGTTTCTGGCAAAGGAGGTTTCATAATGTAAAAAAGATGAGAGACGAGAATTCAACAAACCTGAAAAAACATGTGAAGCACAACCAGTCAGGCCAACAACACAGTTAGACACTTCCTGGCGGACCACGAATTTCAGAGGAGTGTTAAATTTCGTGTTCAACCTTTGGATTGCACATGCCATCATAGGTAGAATGAAACATACGTGTACCTCGTATTTTTCGGAAGATTGACGGCAAAGCAGAGGACGCGAATTCCGTTCGATCCGTTCGATCTTCGCGATTTCTTAGGGGCAAGCGTGAGTTTGTCCATGAGCAGTCACTCCATACCTGCCAACCCACACGGTTTACCCGTTTATTCTCGTACGGGGAAATTGAGTTTTCAGGTCAATACTGCGTACAGCCGTTTCAATACGGGCAATTAGTATGTTTTTGATTTAAAGCTTTCGTGACTGCAGTAATTCATATTCTTAGCTCTTTCGGTAAAGTCACGTTGAAGGGAAACAATACAATAATAATAATATATATAAAACAATAAAAATTCTCACGACGTTTCGACCATAACACAAACGGTCGTCATTATTTGTGTTATGGTCGAAACGTCGTGAGAATTTTTATTGTTTTATATATATTATTATTATTTTATTGTTTCCTTCAACGTGATTTTACCGAAAGAGCTAAGGATATAGTATTTTTTTTGTCTATTTGTTTGTGTTTCTCCCTTGTGATGGGACTTTGTAGAATGAACGTTGAGATCTATAAGGGGCACGGGGTGACCAATAAGGCCTGAATTGGTCTGTAATAAGGTAGGCACTGATAAGGGGTTGACAGGTATTGTTCCAATAAGCGGACGACCGATCTGACAACACCAAATGAGCTGCAGTGATTTTCAGAAGGGGCCGTCCATAAATGACGTCACACGATTTTTGACCCCCCCCCCTCGTCACACGGCGTCACAAAAAGTCAGACCCCCCTCAAATATGACGTCACAAATCTCTGCCCCCCCCCCCGAAACCATATTTCCATTTTGAAAATAAAACATGCTTCAAATCGCTTGAAACCATCGTCATTGTAGTGCGTATTTAATGTGGCGCTGCACTCTGATGTTGTAGGAGAAAACATGTATTAAAAAGTCTATTTAATGAAGTAGAACGTGTTGTCTAATTTATTTAAAGTTGCGCATTTTCATGTGACGTCACATTTCTCAACCCCCCCCCCCCCTCCTCGTCACACATCGTCACAAATGTCTAACCCCCGCTGTGACGTCATTTATGTGCGGCCCCGAAGTAGTTCTAGCAGGTTTTGTTTCTCACGCCCGGTGGTGCACTGCTTAGCTGCAGGATTACGACTGGAAATGTCTCGCAGGAAAATGCACCCCCCTCCAAAGCACACTTAAAATATACTGGACAATAATGAATACAAGTGCAACACAAAGATCTCAATCTTATACCTACGTGACTTTACCGACATAACCAAAGAGTACTATTGTATTTCTTTAAATTTTTTCACTTATCATTGTTTATTGTAATTTTTACCCCCCCCCCCCCCTACTGAATTATCATGTGTCTGAAAAAAAGACGCCAATTACAATTCTCATTAAAATGTGACATTTGTACAGAACAAGGTCGTGCGTCCCGTATTATATTCATATATGACACTGACACTTGCAAAATATTTAGCGCGCAAATCAAGATCCCTCGCGCATCTCATTTGAATGCGTTGTGCGAACACACCGTACACGACTAGGGTACAACGAAAATGAAAAAAACGAAAAACTACGACGTTTCGATCTCAACACAGACGACCGCTTGTGTTGCAATCGAAACGTTGTAGTTTTTTTGTATTTTTTTTGTAATTTTCTTTGAACCTATCTACGTGAATTCTAGATTTAAAGCTTTCGTGACTGCAAGGATCCATACTCTTTGGTTCTATTGGGTAAAGTCACGTAGGTAAAAAAATAAAATAACAAAAATCACGACGTTTCGGCCACAACACAAGCGGCCTTCATCAGGTGAATCAATCGGCCAATCAAATGCTAATTTTTATGCTAATTTCTTTGTCAGGACACCTTGTTTGCTCGCACGCAGCTTAAAGGTCCGCGGTCTGAGCGTGGTTGTGTTTCACTCCAGCGCTGTCCTCGAGACAGCCTGCTCCCTTCACCTGATGAAGGCCGCTTGTGTTGTGGCCGAAACGTCGTGATTTTTGTTATTTTATTTTTTACCTACGTGACTTTACCCTATCTACGTGACTTTACCGAAAGAACCAAAGAATATGAATTCCTGCAGTCACGAAAGCCTTACGCCAAGGTTACGACGAGGGTGACACAGATTCCGTGGACGGTTCAACATTCCCGCTGTCAACAATGGCTTCGTCTCAAACAATACCGCTTAAAGGGCGAGAGTTGGAGATTGGGCTGGATACGCGCACGTTTAAATAGCGACATTACATTTTGACTTTAAACTTTTGTGACTGCAGGAATTCATATTCTATGGTCGCTTGTGTCGCGATCGAAACGTCGTGATATTTTTATTCACTTTATTTTTATTTTTTTCTATCTACGTGACTTTATCGAAAGAACCATAGAATATAGCGACATTGTTTGAAATTGTGCATTCTTCTGTAATTGCTTCAGCAGCTTCACCTCGAGTCTCACCACATCTCTGCTTGGCATTGTGCTGTGAAAGCATTTTGTCAACGCACTGGAAATCCATAATTTGTCAATATGAAAATGGCTCGTGTCCGTTCGATTCCACTCTTTGTTGCTTCCCGCTCACATTCGAGGGAATACTTTATGATATAAAGGCGTTTGCGACACCTGTAGGCAGGGCTATCCATATGGGGAGGGGGGGGAGGGAGATGCGGGTCCCGGAGCAAACCTCGAACGTGTGTGGGACCCCCCCCCCCCGACTCTCCCATCACGACGCCTTCAAACTGAAGCGAAAGTGTTACATCTAACACCGTGACGTCGAAGCGCGAGACCCCCCCCCCCCCCCCCCCGCAGCGCGGTGCCCGGGGCGGTCGTATACAGGGTGCTTCAAAAAGAATGTTAACACTTATATGGGACGATCGTTTTTAATGGAAAGAGAATGGAAAATTCACTGTAACATGATAACAAATGTAATGTGAATAGCTTCAAAAAGTCAAAGGGTCTCCACTTGTTTCGCCATCATTGCCAACACATGCCTGTAATATTCTCCACGTGGTCTTCAGAGCCCGGAGGCAACACATTTTTTGTGGTATTGTTGCCAATTCTCCGAAGTGTTAACGTTTTTTTGACGCACCCCGTATTACGGGGGGGGTCGTTACCGGCTCGTTCGACGAGATGTCCGGCTTTTCTAGCCACAGTGCTGGGAGCTCTCTCTTGGAAGAGAATAAATTACGCCAGACAATATGCGGAAATACAATCATTATGATTTTAAAAAACAACAACGATGTTTATTTAATGAACTCGCTCTTGGTTGAAGACCGAAATAATGCCCTTGCATCACCTCTGACGATGAAGCGAGCGCTCTCCGGAGCTAAGGATGATGAAGTGCGCCTTCTCGTAAGACCTTTGTTGTATTGCAGGGGCAGAGATATTTCACTTTAGTCTGTACTGAAGTCAGGCTCGTGCCTGTTTAGGATAAATGCCACTGATCATTATGGTAGAGTTGTTTGTTGCTGGGCATTTACGAAGGGAGTCAAATGTGCAGTTAGCTGATGACTGTTGCATCTAAATGGTATGTTACAGTTTTACAAAGTGATGGATAATTCACCACTCCACTGTGATAAAGATCCTGCCCATTACATGCGGACCATTCCAAGTGACCCTGGGTTTCGACCGTGAATAGGTGCGCTCAGACAAGGTCTCCAATGAGTGTTTGACCAGTGCCACACAAAGTGCTTGCCACAAATGAAACACAATGCTTGAAATGAACCACAATTCCTTGCTGATATTGTCAAGCAGCATAAACCATCACGTGAACTCCGGTCATCCTTGTAGCAGCAGCGGCTTTTGGCTGGCCACCAAACAAAGTCGGTCACCGCATGGCGCGCTTTCAGATGCGCTTCCGCGACCGTCTGGAACGCTCTTCCCTTCCGATATTAGGAAGCCACTGGAGCAACGCACTTTTAAATCTCGATTGAAAACTCTTTTCTTCAGAAACTGCTTTGTGTGTTTAGTTTGTTGTCCTTCCACCGCACCTCCAATGAACACGGTTGGCTACATACGGTGCGAAAACAATTCAACATACATACGTACATATTTGCCGTGATGCCAAAACATGCCCTCCCCTCCACCCCATTCCGGACTCAGCCCATAGTACGACCCGAAAACA